TCATTATTTTTTCACTCTTTATCCCATGCTAAATGTGTCGTATGCTTCAAACATTTGAACTGTAGTGTATACCGTATATTTCCGCGTATAAGACGACCTTCAAATCCCCAAAATAATCCTTAAAAATTGGAGGTCGTCTTATATTACAATTCTAAAAAAGAATTCTGAGTTACCTTGGCCTCGGTGTAATAACCAATAATGTACATGAAAAGATCCACATTATCAAATAAACTGGTAATAAAAGTAATGAAACTATTTTTACCTTATATATTACTGGCATAACTTCATAATAAATTATTTATTCGAAGAATATTTCCATATCAATTCCATATTGTATCCAAACCCAGCTAAGAAAATGTAAACATCGAGTTAAGATTACGTTCACATCAACCTTTATCGTTCTGTTTTTTGCAGTATTTTGTGATTGTAGATGAAGTATAAGTAAATGGCCATTAGTACACCAGGCTGTTTGTAACTTTTTAGATATAGAAGAAGAAAATAATAATAACAATAATCAGTATTCGAAAAAAAAAGCACGTGATGAAACACAAACAAAAAAATGGTTCCCATTTCAGGAGACGTGTTTAGGAAAAATATTATATAAAATGGTTTAGTTATTTCGTTTATTTTGCTTTTAAAAGCATAAAGCAAGTAACATTTCCAATAACATAATCTTTATATAATCAATAAGCAGGGCGGTGTAATGGTTAACAAGCTAGTCTCGCTTGAACAATTACGAGTGAGTTCAATCCTTACTGGGTACCGTATACTTTCGGCCTTGTGCCATATCTAAGCTACGCTTGAAAAACCACTATAATCAATAAGTGGTCGTCTTATACTACAGGTATAAAATAAATTAATGAAAATCTTTTGACCCCGTCTTATCTAAACGTCGCTTTATACGCAGAAATACGGTATATATATATATATATATATATATATATATATATATATATATATATATATATATATATATATATATTACATGAATCATTCATACAAAAAAAACAAAAAACAAATATAGAGGTTAATGATTTAAATGACATTACTGTAATTATTGAACAATATAGTTCATGCCACATTGACGGAAAACCTACCAGTACAAAAGAATTCTCTTATTACTATATTTGTACAAAAACGCACAATCTTAAAATTTTAAATTCAAACTCAGCGTTGCGACCGCACGTTCCAAAACAATAACACATTTCTTATAGCATTTTTTCGGATTACATCTCTATTTTCATTGTCCTCTTATTACCGAGAAGTAAAAAACAAGAACAAATCTATTTCCATACCTGAGGATGTCTGTAGGAACAGACGAAAGCTTGTAAAAACTAAAAAAAACCTTATGAAACTAGAATTTATAAACAGGGATCATATCATTCATATATAGGTTCGGGATTAGTGTATCTTATTGAAGTTGTTTGCGAAGATGTATTCTCGCCATTTAAATCATTAACCTCTATATTTGTTTTTTTTTCTTTTGTATGAATGATTCATGTAATTATAAATTAAAATTGCACCTATAATTGATATATATATATATATATATATATATATATATATATATATATATATATATATGATGAAATATAGTTTTATGGCATATTATATTTATGGATTCAAGTACTCAATATCAGGGATAGAGCGGAAGTAAATATAAATGTGGACACTGAAGTCAACAACATGCAGCGACAGTCTGTTTTATGCTTGACCACAATCGTCAGGTCATATGCGTTGTGTTTTTGCTCGAATATTTCAGGTCAGTGATGCATTGTGGGTAGTCTATTGTATTGTTCTAAACGTTATTTTGGTGGGCGGTGAGAGTTATGTTTTGAGGATATTGAAATTAAAATTTTAAATTTCTAACACTGGTGGCTTTTTGTCTTTAAATATTAATGTATTTTCTTTTGAAACTCCACGGCTCTTGCCTGAGATCAAAGTGTAGTATATGTTATACTCATCTCTAATGGTAATATTAGCCATTTCCTTATGAGGAAACTTTCAGCATTTATTTGCACACAAGTAAGTGTTTCTCGAGTAAGCTTTTTTTTTCACTCCCAGGCTCTTGCCTTGATCAAAGTGTTGTAGCTGTTATCCTCATCTCTAATAGTAATATTAGCCATTTCTTTGTAAGGAAACATTCGGTATTCATTGTCTGACAAATCAGTGTTCCTCCAGTGTTACTTTTTTCACTCGCGGGCCCTTGCCGGGGATCAAAGTGTAGTAGCTGCTTTCCTAATCTCTAATGGTAATATTAGACTTTTCCTTATGATGAAATCTTCGGAATTCACTTAAACACAAATAAGGGTTCCTCAAATGGGCCTTTATTTTTTATTCCCAGGCCATTACCTGGGATCAAAGTGTAGTATATGTTATCCTCATGAGCTTGATGGAACCTACACCGGGATCCTGAGAAACTCTTGTGTCTATGTTTGATAGAAATTACACAAGTATCCTGAGAACTGTTATGGCTAAGCTTGATGTGACCTACATGCTGAGAGCTCTACTTAATATCTTGATGGAATCTACGCTAGGATCCTGAGAACTCTTGTAGATAATTTTGCTGGAACCTATAACAGGATCCTAAGAACTCTTGCGGCTAAACTTGATGTAACCTACACCAGGATCCCGTGAAAATTTCCGTCTAAGTTTGAAGATTAGCAATCAAACAAGATGTTAAAGTTATCGAAGATTTCGCACACTTCGCGATTTTTGGGACAACATAATCGACCAACCGAGATTGCAATTGGAAACGATGTAACGTTGTTGTGGAGAGGTTCAATTCCTGCGCGCGATGACGGATAGAGGGGTCTGGATTTTCGACAACATTCTCGTGCACTGCAGTAATGTTTTCAGCTGAACGGCGTAAACCAGCGCGTAATGGCGTTTTCACATCTGCCACTGACTCTGAATTTATGAACAATTTTTCCAATTGCACTCTTGAAACTTTAACACGTTATTTGATTGTTAATCTTTTTATAGTCGAATTTGACAAAGGCTTAAGTTGTTAAATCTGAAAGAAAAAGAAAAACAGATTATTAGACACTTAAACTTAATTCACATTTAAAATCGGTCCAAGTTATTGGAACAGCGTTTATTTTAAGCTTAATTCTCAGGTTAGAGACCTATGACTGACGAATAATATTTGAGACAGCACAATTAAAATCCTTTTCAGAACATGAAATTCTCAATCTTCATCTTAATTAAGGTGATATTTAATATTTAATGATGTTAAGAAGTGGCTTTCTTCTGGCTGCTCTTCTGCAATAACCGATGTAATGAAAATACTGCTATCTCTACTGAATGATGAACACTTTAACAAGTGGCTTTCTTCTGGCTGCTCTTCTGTAATAACCGATGTAATGAATATATTGAAATCTTTACTGAATGATGAATACTCTAAGAAGTAGCTTCCTTCTGGCTGCTTTTCTGTAATAACTTAAGACACCACACCACAAACTTAAACACAGAAATTATGTAATTATGTATACAGGTAACACACAAAAATTATGTAAACACAAAAATTATGTAATTCTGCTAAGAAAGTTGGTTCACTGTGTCGTAGGAATTTTTCTCTCCAGAATCTATCTTACATATCTTTAAGCCTATCATTCGTCTATGTTTAGAATATTGCTGCCATATATGGTCAGATACCCCAGCTATTTACCTTGAGCTCCTTGATAAAATCAAAGAAGAATCAATATTATTGGTCCTGATCGGGCATTCGACCAGTCGCTTTTCCACCGCCGTAGGGTTGTCCCTCTGTGTCTTTTCTGTAACTACTTTGATAGTAATTATTCAGATGAGCTCTTAGCTATGGTACCTAGAGTTTTTTAATTTAAGCGCGGTATTAGGCTAGCGACAAAGTGTCATCAATGTACAGTTGAGCGGCTAGATGTAAACCGTAAGTTCCATGCTAATAGTTTCGTCCATCGCACTTGTCGCTTGCTGAAACCTCTTTCGGCTTCTTGCTTCCCTGTTAACTTTCATCTTTAAAACTTTAAATGCAATATCAATCGTTATGTTCTGTCTTCTTAATTATTCTTCATTTATTGTCCTCTCTCCTTAATAGTAGTTTTTCTCATATTCTTTAACACTCAGTAACCCCCTTGCGTCCTAGTGGCTTTATTGCCTTTGATCTTCAAACATTTAAATGCAATGTCAATCATTATCTTCTGTCTTCTTAATTCTTCTTCTTTTATTGTCCCCTCTCCTTAATAGTAGTTTTTCTCATATTCTCTAACACTCAGTAACCCCTTGCGTCCTAGTGGCTTTATCGCCATGCTTGGGATGAAATGATTTAAGTGTTACTAGATTAGCGGCAATTTTATAGTTGAAGTAGCTAGATGTAACCGTAAGTTCTATGCTAACGCTTTCTTCTATCGCACTTCTTGCTTGTGGAACTCTCTTCCGGCTTTTGGCTTCCCTAAAAATTTAAAATGCAGTGTCAATCGTTATATTCTATCTTCTTAATTCCGGTTCTTTTAATGTCCTCTCTACTAAATAATTATTTTCTCTGAAATTCAGTAACTCCTTGCGTCTAAGTGGATGTAGTGCCTTAATAGTTGTGAAATGATTAGAGATGAAATGGCTAGATGTAACCATAAGTTCTATGCTAACAGTTTCTTCTCTCGCATTTCTTGCACTTCTCGCTTGTGGAACTCTCTTCCGGTTCCATGATTTCCGGCTAACTTTAATCTGAAAAAAATTAAATGCAATGTCAATCGCTATCTACTGTTCTCCTGATTATTGTTTTAATTCCCGCTCATTATTAATGTACCTGTTCCTAATTCATCTACACTCTGTACCTCTTGTACCATGCCACTATAGTACTTGGGCGATTTTTCCTTTCCAGAACTATCGGTCATTTTTAGTTCGAACCATTCATCGTTTCTTGTCTTCAATCTGGCATTCATTTAGTATGATTCATTAGGTAAGTTACTCGTTGTTTCATGCAATTCGTCCTGCGAGTGTTTAATTTTACAAGTCGTCTTTCCTCATAAGGATTTCAATGATGGAAAGGGATGAGGGGAGCTTTCTTCTGGCTGCTCTTCTGCAATAACGAAAGTGATGAAAAAAAGAAAGAAAGAAAGAAAGAAAGAAAAAAAGAGACGAAGTATGCGCACTTTAAGAAATAAATAAAGAAGTAGCAATGCGTGAAAAGCAGGCAAATAAGAAAGAAAGAAAGGAAGAGAGGAAAAAGAATGAAAGAAAAGGAAGAAGACGAAATAAAGGGAAAGAAAGAAAGAAAGAAAGAAAGAAAGAGGTAGCAATGCGTGAAAAGCAATCAAATAAGAAAGAAAGAAAGAAAGAAAGAAAGAAAGAAAAAAGAAAAAGTAGTAATGTGTGAAAAGCAAGCAAATAAGAAAGAAAAAAGAAAAGAGACGTAGTATGCGCACTTTAAGAAATAGAGAAAGAAAGAAAGAAAGAAGTAGCAATGCGTGAAAAGCAGGCAAATAAGAAAGAAAGAATAGAGGAAAAAGTATAAAAGAAAAGGAAGAAGACGAAAGAAAGAAAGAAAGAAAGAAAGAAAAAAAGAAAGAAAGAAAAGCAGGGTAAAAAAAGGAAGGTAGCAATAAGCGGAAACAAGCAAACAAGAAAGAAAAGGTGAAGTATGCGCACTTCAAGAAAGAAAGAAAGAAAGAAAGAAAGAAAGAAAGAAAGAAAGAAAGAAAGAAAGAAAGAAAAGTAAAAAAGAGAAAAAAAGAATTATATGCATTTCCAGAAAGAAATAAAGAAAGAAAAGGAAAGAAAGAAGGTAGCAATGAGCGGTGGGGAAGCAAATTAGAAAGAAAGGAGTGAGGAGTAGGCGGAGTAAAGGTGTGAAAGAAACGAAAGAGACGAAGCATTCACTCTTCAAAAGATAAAGAAAGAAAAGAAAAGAAAGAAAAAAAAAACGAAGAAAGATGCAATGAGCGATGACGATGGAAGGAAAGTAAAGAAGAAAAAAAATGGAGGGCCCGATGAGCCGCACCCGATGAGTTAGCACTTCCTGTGTTAATTAACTTGACAAACAAATACGAAACTAAAGGCCCGTTTAAAAATCTAGCAGCGAGAGTTTTGAGTGCAACTTTGCCACACCTGAGGACTTAATGGTTGCGGTGGGGGAGGGGTTCTGACGGGTGTTTGGGTCGAGGCGAATGAAGGATGGTGTCTACGCGACGGGGGCGGGAGGAGGTGAGGAGAGGGGGAGAGAGAGAGAGGCCGGGTTGGTAAGACGTTAATAGACGCTACAAAAATGTTCAGAGATGAAACGTTACCATTTACCAATCATATCCTTTGCGCCCTGCAATTATACCGGTGGGATTGGGTGGGAGAGTATTTATATATATCTTTCACCACACACACCCACACACACATACATACATACATATATATATATATATATATATATATATATATATATATATATACACACATTCACATAGTCGGTGATTATTTGCTTGTATGAGTTTTATGGCCGGCCAAACGACTGGATACTGGGAGTTGAAAATTAATCCATAAGAGTAGTTTGACACGTGGATGAACATAGAAGAGTTGACGCTGACCTTCAAGGTTACGTGGTCATCACAGCCCAAATTAAAAGTAAAAGAAAAAGTCTGTTTTCGAAGAAACTAAAAAAATGGAGATTTTTTTATACAGTGTAACCCGGATATAAGAGAGTTGGCGGGACCGGAGAAGATGTCTCTTATATCCGGGTTTGGTCTATTTTGTTTAGGTAAGTATGGGCTCTAATTTGGGACCATAGAAAATCTCTCTTATATCCGGGTTTCTCTTATATCAGGGTCTCTTATATCCGGGTTACACTGTAAGTGTAAACCGGATATAAGTGAGTTGTCGGGACCGGAGAAGAAGTCTCTTATATCCGGGTTTGGTCTATTTTGTTTAGGTAAGTATGGGCTCTAATTTGGGACCAAAGAAAATCTCTCTTATATTCGGGTTTCTCTTATAACCGGGTTACACTGTACCATATAAAGAAGAAGCATGTCTTTTTCAGTTATAAGTTGAGTTCTTATTTATTTATTTTCGTTTATTTTATTATAAATTGAGGAGCATTCTCTTCTCTCCCTCGCTCCCCCATCTATGGGTTAAATAGCAGGACAGACTGGGTCCTATAGGCTTGACTAGCAACCGGTCTAGGTGAATGACAACACTGGCTCCATCACCAGACCCTGGTCCGTTGAAGGAGCCATAAGTTGAACACAAGCAGCACAAAAAAAAATGCTAAAGATCAGATGAACTCCTCAGAGTCAACGGCCATTATCCACCCCCAACTATAGATTAAATAGTTTCAACAACCCTCAATTGGTCAAGCATTGTGAGTACGGTTACAAACCTCCCAGAAGGCATGGTCAATCAGCTAGCGGACAGAAGTGAGAAAACTCTGGAACTGGATCTGAATTTCAAATATAAATCATGTTTTTCTTAATCATTTCATCCCAAGCAAGACAATAAAACTACTAAGACGCAAGAGATTACAGATTGTCGGAGAACATGAGAAAAGAATACTATTAAGGAGAGAGGACAATAAAAGAAGAAGAATTAAGAAGACAGAAGATAACGATTGACATTGCATTTAAATGTTTGAAGATCAAAGGCAATAAAGCCACTAGGACGCAAGGGGTTACTGAGTGTTAGAGAATATGAGAAAAAACTACTATTAAGGAGAGAGGACAATAAAAGAAGAAGAATTAAGAAGACAGAAGATAATGATTGACATTGCATTTAAATGTTTGAAGATCAAAGGCAATAAAGCCACTAGGATGCAAGGGGTTACTGAGTGTTAGGGAATATGAGAAAAACTACTATTAAGGAGAGAGGACAATAAAAGAAGAAGAATTAAGAAGACAGAAGATAACGATTTAAATTTTTGAAGCAAAGTTGATTGGGAAGCAAGAAGCCAGAAGAGAGTTCCGCAAATGAGAAATGCGATAGAAGAAAATGTTAGCATAGGACTTACGGTTGCATCTAGTCATTTCATGTGTAAAATGACGAAACCTAACCGCCAATCGAGTATCTTCATTACTACTTCTATTTATTTGCTGTTACGACTTGTTTTAGGGAACTGAGGGTTTTTTTTTAATTTTTTACAGCGACGAAAAGAGATCTGATACGCAAAGGAAGCTCCAGTTTTACAACCTTGCAGATTTTCCTTCACTCTAGATTTTCGATTGCATTTAGGTCGGAAAGTCGCCTGATAGAATTTACGCCTATCTGTTAGCAACCCCGGATATGTATTGGCTGAACGTGATTCCGAAAGAAGTGTGTCTTTATGTTATATCTTTTTAAGAGGTTTCATGAACAACTTGGAAAAGAAACTGCAAGACCACCTACACAGGGTGGTAAAAAGAAAGGGAGATAAAAAGGACTATCAACTGCAAAAAGACAGGAAGTATGTTCATCAGAAAGAGAAAAAGGCCCAAGTTACGAATTGGAGATATAAAAATCAATCTGGTACCGAAGTTTAAATATCTGGGAACTGTTTTAACAGAGGATGGAAAATGCGGCACCGTTAGTCCTTTTATCTTGCTTTCTTTTACCGTCTCTATTCCCCTTGTTATGGGTGAATTAGTAAGATTTGTATTACTTAAACATTATTACCTGAAAAATATCCTTACAAGCTAAAAATATTTTCTGGCTTTAAATAAAACTTGCAATGGGTTGAAAACCCGTAGAAAGCGAATCAATTAATTCAGAAATCCTGCCCACATAAACCATTATGATCTTCAAGAAGAAAATTCTTACAATCTAAAAAAAATATTTTCTAGTTTCTGTAAAGAGTTGATAAGCCGTAGAAAACTGATCAATCCATGAAATACTGATTAGCTACACAGGCATATCTTTTAGATTTATTTACATTCTCTGGTAAATAAATTTATAGAAACTACAGTGCCACAAAGCGAGGGGCCAGTTTATATATTGGTTGTAACATAGAATTGATCCCCCACTTCATATCCATATATCGATGAGGAGAAAACTAGAGGCAACAGAAGTATTTGTGATCATAATGATTCTGATCAGATCAGAGAAAGTGGAATTAGTCATTTGATGACTACATCCCTGTAAAGAAATATTTGGTTCTACAGAAGGATACTGAGAATTCCATGAACGGAGCTAGGAAGCAACAAATTGATCTATTTATTCGTTGATTCTTTTATTAGCTTTCTACGACTTATCAACCCTTTGCAGTTTATTTAAAGCCAGAAAAATATTTTTTTAGATTGTAAGAATTTTTTTCCTTGGAGATAATAATTTTTTATGTGGGAGGGATTTCTAAATTAGCTGGTTCGTTTTCTACTGTTTATATTTACCATTTGCAGGTTATTTAAAGCCAGAAATATTTTTAGCTTCTAAGAATTTTTTTTAAGATAATAATGATTTAGTAATAAAATTCTTGCTAATTAACTCATAGCAGGGGGAGATGTGGATTCATACATGGTCTCCACAACGGTAGAAGAAAGCGAGAAAAAAAGACTATCTATCAACCGTAAGAATGACTGAATAGTCACTAGTAAGAGAAAAAGTCCAAGATACCAGTTCCTCATGCACGTGCCGAGGTCCAAATATCTGGGAACTGTTTTAACAGAGGATGGAAAATATGGCACCGAGATCCGAAGTACGCATTGGACGAATGAAAGAAGCACTCTAAATCTCAAGAAGTAAGCAACTGAGAAACAGTAAAATCTCATTTGAAACAAAGAAAAAAAGGGGGGGGGCATTGCTATGTGGTATTCATCCTCTTATATGACAGCAAATGTTAGACATGAGTGAGGAGAAAACTAGAGGCTGCAGAAATGTTGTTCTTCAGGAGGATACTGAGAATTCTATGGACGGAGCGAGTAAGCAACAAGAAAGAAAAACGGTAAGAGAAGACACAGAATCAAGAAAAAAAGCGTGGGGGGGGAGTCGACCGTAGTCGGATAAACATAAACGATACAGTTTCTAATTCAGTGTTTTCCTTCTTCTAGACCGGCTGCTAGCCAAGGCTATAGAACCCAGTCTCAGAACGGTGTTGAGCGGTCTCTGACTGCGCACGCCTTCTGTCGAACTCTCTGCGTTAGCAGAGAGGAACCCGGACGAGACTTTGCCGAAGGGCAAGGTTTCGTCCGGGGAGGTAGACAGGGCCTGAACCCGTCTAGGCGGGTTCAAAGGCTATATTTTTGGCCGGGCCTACGGGCTCAGGGATACCCACATTAAAACCGGCCTTGTGCCATATTCGGTCCTCGTGGGTGGAACGATAAATACTGAACCCAGTCTGCTATTTATCCACAGTTGGTGGGGAGTCATATCTTTTTATAAGTGAACGTAATGAACTCAACTGGAATTCGAACTCGGATCTCCAATTTCTCAGTCCGAGCCGTAATCTATTACTCTACCGCGCCCTCTAAAGGAAAAGGGGGAGGGTTTGGGAAAACTTAACCCTCACAGACCAAGAGAGATAAGGGAAAATGGCGAGTCGCTTACCTAACGAGCTTTCCTTGGATGGATTACTTAACGGAACAGAGGACTTAGCAAAGAGAGAAACACTGCTAGGAGCTAGAGATAGGAAGCTGTGGAGAGCTATGATTGCCTGTGTGCTGAAGGGTACATAAAAGAAGAAAGAACTTTTTAGTGATTTCCTTTTTCTGTTAGAGGATAATTCAATGAATAGCTACAGTGTAACCCGGATATAAGAGACCCGAATATAAGAGAAACCCTGATATAAGAGAGATTTTCTCTGGTCCCAAATTAGAGCCATGCTTACCTAAACAAAATAGACCAAACCCGGATATAAAAGAAACCCGGATATAAGAGACTTCTTCTCCGGTCCCGACAACTCTCTTATATCCGGGTTACACTGATGTGTGTG